ATTACGAGTTGACGTAGGTATAATTCACTTAAACAGAAGCTAGCTAGCTTTGTCCTTCGTTATTCACCAGCCACACACGCCGATTACAGGTCGAGTTTCTTTTACCGCTGAAGTTATATAATATCTAACTAAAGGTACAAATATCCGATAAGAATCCACTGAAGTTAAATGATTTGTAATATTCGAACTTTGTAAATGCTCGTGGTCAAATATCTTAAGTTTTTCCAATTGATAAGCGTTATAACAACCACAGTTATAGTTTCCAAAGTTTATAGCACACTGATTATAGCAAACTATTAATAGACACTTTCCTTGGCGCGTGGCGTTGGTTATATTTATAGGCATGTGGAGGCTTTCTAGAAAATTCAGATTACATAACAATACAAATTTAAGCGTTTAAGTACATACATATATTGTTTATTCTTACTCTCGAGAATCTTTTACAATGGAGAATAGGCGGGAGTTTCGCAATACATATTTAACAGTATATGCTATGTATGTTTCTAAATATAAATTTAATCTAAACTAACGTTGATATTAACATAAATATAATAATAAATTCGTTACACTGCTGTGTTCACTTCGGGAATCGAACCCCGGATTTTATCGTTGTATATCTGTATACTTACCGCTGTCCCACCGGAGGACTAAAATCGATACACCCCCCAGTGGCACAGCAGTATGTCTGCGGACTTAAAACGCTAGAAAGTGGGTTTCGATACCCGTGGTGGGCAGAGCACAGATAGCTCATTTTGTTGCTTTGTGCTTAACTTCAAACGAAGAAACAAACAATATCGATACAAAAACCCTAACGGATAAAAGACGCTATGACGATAAAAGAAACAAATAAAGTGCAAGGTTATGCACATACACAAATAGAAATCTCGATATGATGCACACAATAATCATAAAAATGATGGCGTAAGGCCCCACATAATTGAACAAGTTAATCATTTTGCGCGTCATATTACACTTAAGTTACGTACCGAGATTTTTATTTGCTGTGAATATTTCTATGTGCACACGACATAAGTATGCCAAAATGAACCTGGCCTCGCTCAAGACAAAGAAACTGTGGGCCCCTGAAACTTTATTTATACATTATACTTCATAGAATACTTAATTCTCGTATTCTGGACATACTACACATAAATAAGTTAATAAACACCTTTATAAATCTACATATGAGTTAATACAGGCAATTTACTAGTACTTTTAATAACACTAATAAGCATCTTTAAAGTGAGATAACCAGTACGATGTTACGCTGACAGCTGATCTACTGTTATTATTCTTTATATCTTCCCAGTTAAGTACTGATACGTCGCCGCTCAGCATTCGTAAAAGTCACATTTATAGCATATATATCACTCTGCAAAGTTAACTATAAACGCACTACAGAATGAGGCTAGAAAAAAGTCAGCGTCATATGATATCACAGTTAAATAGCTTAGGCCTTTCAAGAGAAGATTGCTCATTAGGTAAATAGTAATTGGTTATGTGATATATGTATGATACTGATAACAGATGATTATTTGTCCACAAACGCCCACATCTGAAATAGCAAATATTTCTAAATTGGTTCCTCACACGTGCATTGCTTTACGCTTTAGTTGTTGCTCTCCTTTTGCTTCGCAGCCTTACCTTGTACTTTGTCCGTATGAGTCTTTGTGTTAATTTCTTATGTTTTTTATACGATGTATCTAATAATCTGCATTCATTTTAATAGTAAACTATACTAGAAATACACCAAATTGCAATTATAAATATACCAGAACTTACTAGTGATCACTGTCTTGACCACTGGTCACTTGCTAGTTGTTTATTCGTTTGATTTCTAGTAGTTTTGGTCAATCGATATAAATCATTATAACTATAGTATTACATCTACAAGTTACATAGGGCATCATTCACTCATGTAGTATTGTGTAATTCAGGTTTACTGGCCCTCCAGTGTCACAGTGGTATGTCTGCAGATTTGCAACGCTAGAAACTGGGTTTCAATACCCATGGTGGGCAGAGCACAGATAGCCAATTGTGTAGCTTTGTGTATAACTTCAAACAAACAAACAGGTTTACTATTATCAGTTTCAAAGTAGCCATGAAACTTGGATTCAGGACTGTTAAGCAGTGAATAAATCAAAATCTGACAGCAAAGGAACAAAATGCAGAAACACAAGTGATCAAATAAACAGAATTTTTATTCACAATGAATAATGTGTCATAAAGTCTATATCATTTACTGGCTGTCCTCTACTCCTCTTTTCCTGTTGAGGTTGTAAAGGGGCCTTTCTTTAAAATGTATACACAGGACAAGAACAAAGCAGATTCTAATATACTGCTAAAATTCAGTATACAGGGATTCAATGCTGCATGGGTCACCAAGTATTTCAAACATTTATAGCGATGAAAACCCTTAATTCAAAGCAATTTGTACAAATATCTAAAACACCCCTTGAGATGGGTTTACCCCTTTTCAGGGGTTTCAGGCACAGGCCTAAAGTGTTATGAATTTACTCTTTAGCATATGCATTTGTGTCTGAATAAAAGTCAGTACATATTTTTGACCTATGGTCATCCCTTTAATGAGAATGTGATTGCTAGAACAGTTGAGGGTGAAATTATGACTATTTCAATCATGAGTGCATTAAGGATTTGAAAATATTTCATCAGTTATCCAAATATGACGCATAATCTGTTGAAAGTTAATCTAGTATGGTATCATCAGATAAAACTAATTTTACTTAGAGCAACAAAACAAACAGGTATGTTGAATAAAAAGAAATTCAACAAGGTATTTATTACAGACTTATTCTGAATTTCTCTGAAACTGAGTTTATGAGAATAAGATAAAAGAAATAAAATGTAAGACACATTGAACAATCTTTATTAATATCACAAACAGTGTGTGTATTTGCTTAGGATCCTAGGCAATTCTTTTTACTGGGTTATAAGCTGTTTTCTCTCCAAACTGTATTGTTGGATTGCATACCAGACTGTTTAAAACCTACTTTACTTAATTCAAAAGTAATGTCAGACTTACCTGGAGTGGCTAACTACCAATATAATTGGTTATTCATATTCCAACTTAAGGGAGGTTGTAATCTCAAGGCATCACCTGACCTACCATTGGAAAACACTACTGTCAACATCCTTGCACAACATCAACATTAGAGCCATACCTTTCAAGAGAATGACAAAGAACAAAGGCAACTAGAATGAAAGTAACTTGATGCTTTCTTGATCAATGACTATATGTTAAGTAGAAACTTCACCTGCTTTGAATAACTAGCTAATTTTAGAAACTACTGTATCAAAACAAGAAGGTACCCGATGATGACAAAACCTTGCAGAAATGTTGTACATTTGCTGTTATGTTAAACTTATATTAAAGTTGTTCTTCATTACCCATTCAAGCCATCTCTAAGCATTATAAGAAGATATAAATTTCATGGCATGCTTATACATGAGAAATAATGCCATCTCAACTTACTTTATACTTCAACTTTAGCCATGTGTAATGGCAACAAATTGCCAAATTTCTTCCTGGTGACAATAAAACAGACTTACAGTGACATATAAGATTTAAAAGGCTCATAACAACAATAAATGTAACTGATAATTGTATATACAATATCAATGTAAACATAGTTAAAGCTGTAGGCTGAAAAAGAAGGGCTCTAATAAACTAGAATTGTAATAATGTTCTCTTATTAATAGAAGATTAATGTTCAATGCCATTTTACAATAAGCATATGCATATAAGCTTTTAGGGCATCACAGAAAATTGAAAATATTGTTTTCTCAGGTTTGATTTTAACCATGACTGCTATACGATCAAACATTTTCTCGGTTAGCATGCCTAACCGAAGACACAGTACCACATGTTCTTGATTTTTAAAACATTGAATGTTACAAATATTACAGAAAAACATTATGTATAGGAAGTTATGTTTCGAAGGAAATGTATTTCAAGAGTTTTTTTTAAGTTTTGTTTATGACTGTTATTGCATCTTTCCTTGTATTATCAAATGATATATTAGTAACAAGTCATAAGGAATTCTGATGTAAGTCATGTTGGTAAATGCCTCACCAGCTTATTTGGAAGTTGAACAAAATTAAGAAGTATGTTAATGAAAACAGGCTCACACCCTGTTGATATTTTGCATCCAGTTTTTTTTTCATATTTGCTTATTGGAGCTAGCTTTCAAACTTCTTCAGGAGCCCTCATTAGGTTTAATGAACAAAAACATAATACATACAATATTTAAGAGAAATAACATTATTGAGTGTGATCCATTCTGTTTGTAAGATTATAACTAATGATTGAGAAATACTTAAGTACTCCTTAAACATTTTTATTATTCAAATTTTTGTTTATTAATAATTTTCATAGTATCACCTTAGCAAACTCTAATGCTTAGTTTTGTGACCTTCCTGACCCAAATCTATAACCCTTTCTTCATCCTTTTGTATTATTTTTTGCATGGATGAACCAGCTTTACCACCAATGACTAAAGCAGTTTGATTTTTGTTTTTACATGCATGGTTTAGAATCTGGTGTTAGTGGTTTTTATCACTTGAATTCCTGTAAAAGGTGTTTTTTTTTAAATTTTATGAACAGTAATTATTTTTACCTTTTCTTACTGCTGTATACCAGAAGAGGTGACAGAGTAATGATATATGAACATATTCTGAATCTTTTTTTTTATTTATATAATCACTAGGATAAATTAAACTCCTCATGATTCAAAAATATTACTTTGAAGTGTTTTAGCATTTAACTTTTCCTATAAATAAAATTTTCAATATTAAAGTACCATACAATTGCTGATATGAGATACTTAACTTAGAAGAAATATCAAAATGATAAAATGTCTTCACTTTTTCTTATGATTTAAGTGGGTAATAAAATAATTTAAGTACCAGTATTTTCATTAGGAAATATGTTTCCATTTAAAACAATTACATATGCTTGTTTTTACATGGCTGGTGTATAGGTACGATTAGAGAGTATTGGTGCAGAAGACATTGTGGACGGTAATCCTCGATTAATTTTGGGTTTGATTTGGACAATTATTCTTCGTTTCCAGATTCAGGAGATAGAAATTGATGTGGTAAGTTTAATAATGTGAGTTCAAATCTGTATCAGTTAAAGACGTTTCAATTATTTTCAGAGTGAAACATTGTAATTTTATATGGATAGTTTAGTGAAGCTGAAAAATTTGTGTTGTAATACTATTCATTTGTCGGTATTGTACTATAATGTTGTTTGTTGGTCAGTTTGTTTTGTACTTTGAGGTAACTCGATCACTGTGTTTTGTATTTTGATGTTGATCATTGGTCAGTGTGTTTTTGTGTCACTTGTTAGTGTATCTTGTATTGTCATGTGAGTTGCTGGTCAGTGAGTTTTGTGTTGTGATGTTGCTTGTTGGTCAGTGGGTGATGTACTATGATGTCATCCATTTGTGAGTATGTTTTATACAGTTGGGTTTCACTCAATTGTCTGTGTGTTTTGTATTCTTTGTCACTTATTGATCAGTGTATTTTTCATTATTACGTCACTTGTTGGTCAATGTGGTTTGTATTCCTGTGGTGGATGCAGTGAATTTAAGGGAGCTTAAGAGAATGATCAATAAATATTTAAATGAACAAGGCTGGATTTGAGCTGTGTTTTTTCTTAAGCCAAGCTTTTCATCATTACTATAAGCTGTTGTGTACTTGTATCTAATGTTAATATTTATGCTTAATTATAATTCTATATAAATGTATTTAATCTTATTTTTATACTTCTAAGTATGTAATCTTTCAAACTATTTCTTAACTTCAATTCTAATGTAACATGACAAATTATCATAATACATTTAAAGAAGATTTTGTTAAATATGTATAACTGATGTTTGATAAAAAAAACATTGGCTAAAAATTTTTCGTACAGGCCATGAGATGAAAAATATATAAACTATAGGACAGTAAATTCAAATTTTTTTGCAAAACATAGGTTCACCAGAAGGCTTGTTTTGAGTGTTGTGGAACTTATGTGGCATTGTGTATCAAATAAACAAGATATGAACCACGTGTAATGTTCACTACTTACACAAGTGGCTAGAAAAACCTATCTACAGAATTTTAAAGATTTGATCACTTTGCAAACCAAATACTCATGGCAAAAGTCTATTAGTTTCATGATACTTAAGTGATTTAATGAGCCCTATAAACTCAAGGGTGTATACACAATTTTTCTACACTGTGGCCTAAATATGCATATTCACTGTGTACAAGAATATATAATATTTCTTTTAAACATTTTCACAGGTATTGTCCTTGTTTACAACTTTGTTTTGTGTCACACTTAAGTTTAGTGTGAGAAAATTATATCTCTCCTTGAATTTAATAGACTAGTGAGAAACCAGCCAGCTTTCTGAACCACTATGGACCCTATATTCCAAAAGAAAATACCTCATTTAAACCCTTGTCCAATTAAAATTTGAAATAATTTTTGCAATCTCCTTAAACCCTAAAAATGGTAAATTTAAATTATGAAACTTCTATAGCTCAATTAAACATTATTTAAACCCACCAAGTATTTTAAATGTTAGCCTTTTACATTAAAACTTGAAGGATGGGAGAATCTTGTTAAATTAATCTTATTTACTAAAACTAAATTCTTTAGTATGTTGGATTTATAATGAGGTTTTTAGTTTTTTTTGGTCCCAAATGAAATTTATACAAAGTAATCTTTGTGTTTGAAATTGAATGTTATCTAACAATATTAATGTTTAATTTTTTCCTTGGTTTTCCTGAAAGTTTACTCAATAAGTATTAGTTCCATTTTGTAGTTTGTCTGAAATTTAAGTTGTATTTTTAACTATTGCTCAAAGTATCCTTTTTTAACAGAATTGCAGTATTTCTAAACTGTAAAATCCCAGATAAATCCTTTAATAACAACACATGCTTTTGTATTGCTGTTTCTTCACTCTTTATGCAATATTATCTCTATGTTTGAAGAATTATACAGTTTCAAAAGAAAAAAAATAATCTATGTTTTTGTAGGTTGGATTTTCAAGGATAAGTTTGGAATATATCTATCAGTTCACGTGATAATCCTGTCTTTCCATACAGAATTCTAGCTGATTGTTTGTGTCTATGATTCATGTATGTTACTCAACAGCATAATGAACATAAATAATTATTTCAGCAGTTTTCATGGAAAGTATCTGTTACTTGACAAGTTTATGTGTGTGTGTGTGATATATGAAATTATATAAACATATTTATAAACACACATATTTTCTTGAAGTAAGCCCATGTAAAAACAAGGAAAACCAGTTTGATGTAATTTAAACAGGTATTGCTGCTATCAGAGGTAGCAATCCAGCCAACCTACACACACTGCCATAAACCTTGCACCTTACATATATACAGTGTTAGAGGAATGTGTGGAGCTTCAGACTAATGAGAAAGTGTTAAGTGATTCTGGTGTTCAGATTGACCAAAGTAGGTCATCACAAACATCTACTTGATGGTTGGGATTATGAAATGAAATATGAGAAATTTTTTGTTTTTGTTGACTTAATATCAGATCAGATATACATTTTTTTATTGCATACAGTTGTCTTTTTGTTAGGGAAAAAATGAAAGAGTAGTTTTATTTAAAAAATAATCAGTGTAATTTCATTTTTCAGACATTTATCATTTTTATGTCATCTATATCTGTAGATTAAATAGCATATTATGCCATAATTTAGATTTTCTCTCACAAAAGTTTATTAATTTTACAATTTATTTTTGTGACACAATACATTTTTTTTTCAGTTTCAAAGACATTTGTCTTTTACTAGATATATAATTTGTATTCTTTTAAGACTGAAAATGACAAATGTGTGAGAACTCACAATAATAATGGAGCCTATATTTAACAGAACGAAGATGATGAAAGCAGTGAAAAAAAGTCAGCTAAAGATGCACTTTTATTATGGTGCCAACGTAAAACAGCAGGGCAAGTGAAATTTTTTAATTAGCTAAAGTAGTAAGATGTTTTTTTCTGATTAACTTTGTAGCATTTTATTGATATATACATTTCAATTCTTAAGAAAATCTATATTTTATCTTTTATTGAATTTTTTTAGGAATTATAATGTTTAGTAAACAGTGATTGTAAAGTGCAGTTAAGGATTTAAGTTGTACAAATACAGATTATCTTTCAGTAATAAAACTTATAAGAATATTTAAACACACCAGTCACATTTTTTCCACTAAAAAACTTAAAAGTTCATGTGTATCTTTAATTTTTTTGCTATTTCACAGTATAGGCAGTTTTTTTTCATAAGTGTATAATGTATGCTAAAATAAATTATTTTTTGCCTTCATGATGAGTTTTATAAATACTTGTGACTTGTGAGCCAATTATAATTTTCTGGAAGATTTTTGCTTTCTTGTGTCTGGTAGTTTCAGTTGGATTTAATTTCTCTGTTCATACATAGATAAATTATTAAGAATATTTCAGGCTTTATTTATGTTCTTTCAAATCACCAATCTCTGCTTTAGTTTCTCAAGTTTTCTGCCCCAAAAGTTTTAATAACAGATTGCCTGTCAGGAAATTTTGACTCTAGCTAAGAAAAAAAGAATCCTGATAATCACAGAAAACATTCATTATTGATTAACTTATGAGTGTCAGGAATGACTTACTTATCTTTTTATAGTTAACAATAGTAATACCTAGTTATTTACACTAAACATTCTTTTATAAATATATTTCTGACTCTTTCTTTCTTTGTATTAAAATGTTTCAGGCAGGTCTTTGGTAGGTCCTTTAAAATTCTGAATGCAAGTAGTTTCTTCAAAACTTTCAAAAAACATCCTGGCTTCATAACAAATTATATCGATATATTTTTAATCCAAACAATTAATGTTGCATATCACAAGAATTCTATAGTACAACATGACTGTCTGACTGGGTATATATCATCATCAGTAACTTGACAGGGTGGCTTTTTAATATATTATTTATTAATTCACTCATGTATTTAAAGTATAAGTATGGTTTTAACATAATACGGTAAAGAGAATTTAGACTGCTTGTCTGTAATGTACATTATATCCAATATTTGCTCATGAACTATTGATTAACATAATTTTGTTTTAAGGAATAACATAAGGTATCCTGACTAATTTGGACTGTCAACTTGTCATTTAAGTGTAGCTTAAACTTTGATGAAAAACATCTTCAGTATATATTTCCAAATGTAAAATATTTCTCAAAAATATATTTTTATCAAACTTATATTTTCCATTAAGATCAAAGGCCTTTTCAATCAATTTATGATTTTTCAACTGTATTAATAAGAAACAATTCTTACAAACTGTATTTTTAGCTGTTGTCATTCTAATTAAAGATATATTTACTAGTTACCCACATGTCAACATCCAGGATTTTACAAGCAGCTGGAGAAGTGGGTTAGGGTTTAATGCTCTTATCCATGCCCACCGACCAGACCTCATCAACTTCAGGGCCCTTCAACCCCATAACCATATAGATAACTTGAATAATGCCTTCGATATAGCTCAGAGAGAACTGGGGATACCTCGCCTTCTTGATGCTGAAGGTAATAAATACTGAAAGATACCATATTATTAAAGCAATTAATAACGAATGTAATTAAGATATAACCTTGATGTTTAGTGTCATGGCCATCTCTATAATTGACAGTACGTGCTCAGAAACTTCCCTTTGCTTATAAAAATATTACATTTTATTAAGTCCTGTTACTTCAAGTCTATATTTTTGTCTGATCATATGTTTTTATGTCTTATTTAAAGTATATGGATGGATAATATTAAAACACTATTTTTAATTTACTAAGAAAGAAAAAATTTCAGATATTCTAATAAATAAAAGTTAAAACAATAACAATTTATAAATATGTTCTAAGATATTTAAAAGGACTTACTATAGAAACATTATTTTAAATTCTATTTTTCATTTCTTATTGCTTTTTATTATGTTTTTTAATTTTGTATTGATTTTTCTATTCTTTAATTATCTGTAGAAGAAAAGTATTTATTTGCAGTGTAATGTATCAGATAATGATGGTAGTAGCAGGGAACAAAAAATTTGAGATTTATTAAACACAATACAAGTTTTGTAAGATATTAAACACTAATAAAAGAGTGTCTGACCAGAACATGGTAAATAAATATCCCAGTCTTAAAACCAAACACAGTACAAGAACTAAAATAAATCTATGGTGTTAATAATAAGCCACACAAGATAATATTAACAACAATAATAATAATAACGATAATAAATCAGGAAAAAAAGAACTATAAAAAGAAAAATTTAATTTCTAAGATTATTTACAATAATAATCATATTAGATACTTCACAAAGGAAATTGTTAAATATTGAGTATTTTCAGTAATATCTTTTAACAATTAAAATGTCTTATGTATCACAGTTTCACAGCTCTTTAACCTTCAGTCCAACTGCACTGACTGTCTAACTTCAACTCTTAAAGTTTTTTTATTGTCCTGCCAGACCATGAAATTATATGTCACATGACTAATTACCTAACCTGTGTTTTACATAATTAATCAAGAACTTAGTGTACATATATCACTGCTCAGAGAACCTCGTGTTGGTGTCTTAATATAAAAATGACCCATTTATTATATATATAGTTGGAGGAAGATGAACGAGTATTTAAGACAAATAAAAATATAGTTGAACCAAATAATAGAAGGAAAAATAAATAAACCAAAAAAAAAATACATAACTAAAAGTAAAATATAAATTGTTACCTCCTAACAGTTTTGTAATTTACTTTTTACATAGCAAGTGTAAAGATGTAATTTATGTAAATAAAGAGGAATACTTAAAATAGTATCAATAAAACAGCAGAATAGAGTGAAAAATATTTGCAATTTTTTGACTGAATAGCAAAATTAAGAATATGTAAGCTTCATTGCATTAAATTTTATAGTTATTTATGGCATGAAAATTGTTTTAGTTAATGAAATTATTAACTTTATTTTTACAGATGTAGATATTAACAGGCCAGATGAAAAGTCTGTCATCACATATGTGGCATCTTACTATCACACCTTTGCCAGGATGAAAACAGAAATGAAAGGAGGAAGAAGAATTGCTAATGTAAGGCTGCTCTGTTATGGTTAATTAATGAGTCATGAAATGTTTTTATATGTTTTAAAATAGGATTTGTCAGTGATCTTAAATTGTTTCATTAATTCTTTGATTGTAATATGTAAAAGAAAACTATGAAAGAAGAGTTTATGTGATGACTTTTAAAATGCATGAATGAAGATAGCTTCTAATGAAATGAATTAAATATGAATTTTGCAAATTTAAAATTTATTCCTTTAAATGAAACTTACAACTGCATGGAATCTATTGCATAAAATAAATTACTGAAATGAAATTAGAGATTTATGAGCATTGATGTGTGACATAGTGTTTTGCTTTTTTTTTTTGAACATAAAAAAACAGTATGAAATGTACAATTGTCTTGTTTTCCTCAATTCTGTGAAGTACACAGGTTTGTAAAGAAAATGGACTAATCATGTATGTTATTATTCATCTAAAAATGTTTCTTTATAATGAAAAATTGAACGTGAATTTTCATGTCACTCTGAAGAAATGCTAGTACATATTTTCTCAGACCATACTTTTCAGCAAATTAATAAATTTCAGCATTGATTATGATAAAGATACCACTGAAAGATACTATTTTATTATTATTCACCTAATATTATTAATGAAAGTTTAAAGCAATGTTATATTGTTTCCTTCATCTTATCATCAAACGTTTTTAGTCAATAATACCAAGCAAGTTTATAAAAAACTACAAAATATGCTGTTTGTAAACATTCATGACACGTAACAATTTAAAATGTTATGCTTGATCATCATTATTAATTTTATGAGACAATAAATTGGCATTTATCACAGATTTTACTTGGCTTGTGCTACATTAGTTATTAGAAAGAAAAGTTTAAATTGTAACATAATTGTTCTGTTGGATAAAATTTGTTTATGATAAATGTAATGATACATGTAGTTATTCTTAATTGTGTTTTCTTTCAGATTGTTGGACAAATGATGGATGCTGATAAGCAAAAAAACATTTATGAGGAATTTACAACAAGCCTGCTTGACTGGATCCAAGAAAAGATTATTGAATTAGATGATCGAAAATTTCCTAACTCCCTTGAAGGCATTCAGAGGGATTTATTGAGGTTTAAAGAATATCGTACTGTTGAAAAACCACCAAAGTAAGAAACTATATTTTAATTTGATATAAGCAAACAAGAATCCTTGGATAATGCAAATGCTTGTCAAAAATGAAGAAGAATGTTCCTGAAAGAAAATCATATGACAGTATGCTATATTCGATTTTAGAATTTAAGCTATAAACAATTCTGCTAAAGCATTATAAAAAAAAAGTTCATAGAATTATCAAAAGCAAAGAAATAAAGATAACTACTTCTATGAAAGTAGATTTAATTAAAACATTTTTTGTTTATCATTACAGGAGATCAATCTTTATTCTTTGTGAAAATTGAAATATTGAGCCATTAAATAACTGTTACACTTTTCAGTATTAATATACCTTTCTTTTTTGTATTCAGGTATAGAGAAAGGAGTGAGATCGAGGCCTTGTTGTTTGCCATTCAAACCAAATTGAAAGCTTTAGGTCAGCCACTCTATGTTCCTCCAGAAGGTAAACTTGTACACGATATTGAAAAAGCTTGGGAGCAGTTAGAAAAGGCTGAACACCAACGAGAGGTAGCACTGAGAGAAGAGCTTCTCCGGCAGAAAAGATTGGAAAACTTAGCTTATAGATTTGAGAAAAAGGTAAGAAACATTCACTGATTAAGCTACTGCACAGGAGGAATGAAAAAATTCAAAAGGTCGATTTACATCTATAATACACTAGACCTCTACTGGCTGAATAGTGTAGGTAAAAGGGAATGATTTACAGTTATATGTATTGCATTTAGACGTTTTCAGATGCTACCTGTCATTGAAAATCTTCTAATTATAGAATTAGTAAACTGGTATAATTTGCTTTATTCAATATTGTGTAGTAAGTGCCAGTTAAGTATTTGTCGACATAAGTAAATTTATGAATTTTGCTTTGGAACATTTTCTAAAGTTAATGTATAATTTGAAAAATTGAAACCAATGTCCAGTCCCCCTTCTTACATAAACGTTCTTTAAAAAATCAAACTTAAAAACGTACCTTTTCAATATGACTTGCTAAAAAGCCTGAATGTGGCACAAAATTACTTCTTGCCTTGTAGTTGCCTTTTTTTAAATGTTGACTCATACCCACACGCTCTTACAAGTTAACTAACTTTTACTCAAATAAGATGGTGATTGAGCATTACATTTAATAATATTGTAGCTTTCTGTTCTGACCAAGGATAAGGTTGTTAGAATTGGATATTTATAGAAGGCTACTCCAGAACTATTTGCACAAGCCATCCTTAAGTTTGAACAGACAGACTAGAGGAAAGCCAGTTTCTCTTGTCTGATTAAATAGTGGGAGTTTATTGTCACTCTTATCATGCACTTACCGTCCCAAATTGCAGAGTTTGATTTTTGAGGCAATGAGATGCTAGACTTTACCTACCTTCCAAAGATAAGGCCAGGTCATATTTACTTGAATCCACCTTCTTTGATGAGAAAAGTACAAAGCTAAAATTTGTCTTAAAACAAAACAACAACTAGAACTTTAAATAACAAAAATGCATTTAGACAAAGTAAGTCATATGTTAGCACAAATTCCAGCAAAAAAAAGTTATAGTAAATATATTCTTCCATTGCTCATTCAAATTTCAATCTTCTACAATACATGAAACTATAGAGAACATAGAATAATGCAAACACTAATATTATGTTTAAAACCAGTTATTGGCTGAAAGTATAAGATGATTAAAATAACCACACCTCAGACTAGGATTAAGTTATAAATAACTAAAGTAGTTTACATCAATTCATTATTAGCACAATTTTCATTTTTTTGAAAGAATTTCATGTAGATACATTTATTTGTGAGTGTATTTAAAGAAAACCATTTAGCTTTTGTTAATTTTTTAGCTATTTTTTTGTTTGTTGTAATGTATACTTCTTGTTTTTATTCAGAGTGTGCTGCGTGAAGGATACTTGAAAGAAATGATCCAGGTTTTGTCTGATCCCCGATATGGAAGCAACCTGGCACAAGTTGAAGCAACAGTTAAGAAACATGAAGCAATTAGTGCAGACATTATGGCAAGGGTATGTATTGCTCAGAATGTCATTGTAACTCATCTTTTAAGATAGTGTTTAGGAAGGCTGTGTGTGTTAAAAACAGTGAGTGAATTGTATCACAGTAGATTTCAATGAAGAGAGTAGTATCTTATTGTTTTAATAATTACTTTGAGTACACTATTAAGTTCTAGGCTACATCAATTTTTATCTGGGCTGTCAATGCATTAATTGGAGTTTATTAAAACATAAATCATTGAAATTTTACACTTAATTAGAAAAAACTTATAGATATCCTCAGACATGCCGTCAACACACCCAAAAATATACAGTAGATTTGTAAGTGGTTTGTTTATGCTCTATCCACCTGGATTTATCATTGTAAGTCCATAAATTTACTGCTAACACACTAGGCGACCCTAAGAAGATACAATTCCTCTTCAAAAGATTAAAAAAACATATTTTGTTTTGGTTGAAGGTATGTGTATGTATGTGTCTACTGCATCAGTTAGGCACTGTTTTTTCTATCTGATTCACTAAATTTGAAAATGTTTTTTTCCTTTTTTTCTTTAATGAATCTTTAGAGTACTCAGCTATACATATAGATATTCTTGTCTATAGCCCACCATATTTTGTAAAGATAAAACCTTGTAAAATAGTCCAATTTTCCTAAAATTATAGGGTTCAAAATGAACATGAGACACTAAAAAAACAAAAGTTTCATAACTTTATCATTTTAAAAAAAGATAGGTTGTCATGCAGTTATAAGCTTAAAACCTCCACCTTGAAATGTACATCCTATAGTTCTGAACAAGAGCAGCATCTTGCTTTTGTATTTTCAAGTTTAAAAGCTGAAATTTTGAAAAAGTAATGACAACTATAAATAGTAAACAAGTTATATATATATACTAGTATAAAAGCCCATCAAAAATGATGGGAAATCATTATTGAATGATTAACGAAAATTGTAGAATTTAATTAAAACGAATTTGTCAGTACCTCCAAATGCACTCACTCTTCATTTATTTTATCAGTCTTGAAGTAATTCTTTAATCAGCATATTTTTAATAAAAACTATGCTGAAAAATGAAATGTTATCATGAACAAAAGAACTCTGAAAGAGACTTAAATAGCACTCTTGAGCCTTTTCACTGTATTCTAGGTCAGGAAGTAGAAAATATAATGTGGACTTTCCAACACAAATTTTCAACTCTTTTGACTGTACAAAAGATAAAAGATATTTGGTAGTAACAAACATTTATTTTTCTTTATATTTTAAGACCAATTAGATAATATATGTGTTAAAATACCAAAAGAATATTTATTAATCAACATTTATTCACTACTTAAATTTTTTTTAAACACTGGCTCTGTAACGTTAGTATTTTTACAAGTTGAACAATAATTGAAGTCTAATTTAAGCATTAGGCTTAATACATAAACATAACATAAGACTTAGCTGAAACACTACTTGGTAAATTTTATTTTGCTTTTGGCTAGAACTCAATATCATAAAATTTCTGAATTAAATTATTTTGCTGTTATATCACCAAAGTTATAAAAAAAATAAAGAATAAAAAGCAAACTTTTCTAACAAATAAACATGACTATTGAGCATTCAACATAAACACCATAGTTGGCCTAAGAACAATCAAGTAATAGTTTTGTTGTTAAACAACAATCTATATTGTTGAACATTACCAAAAAAAAGGAGCATGAAAGTGTCCTCAACAGAGTGACAAAAGGGATAAGCCTTTTATAGTTAGTGATATATCAAAACGATTTATTTAATGATGACTTGGAACAGTGAAAAACTCTCAGAATTAGTTTTTTCTTACTTTGAGAAATCTTGACATCCAGCATGATTAAGTCACTTTTCTGTGGCTACTGAGCATTGTGTTCTTGGGCCTTGCGTAAGTAGAGTTGGGATAATTGTTATTGTTACAGTGTCAGGAAACTTACTTTTTTAATAGTATATATTAAAGTAAGCATATGGGTGTGTTGGGCTAAGGATTCTTCTACAATTGGTGTCTGTGACTTGTTGGCAATAAATTCAACAATAAATGAACAGCACGCACTTTGCTTGTTTTAAAATAATATATTCAAAACAAGTTAAACGTATGTACATAAATTCTTTACACTATGTACATAATAAGTGTATCTTAAATACTATACAGTTCTCTTCTTCTTGTCAAAAGTACACTTAGGCCAATTCAGTTGCTTTAGAATTAAGTTGACAAGCTGTATTGCTGTTCTCTATTTTTATCTTAAATGCTATCAGTGTATAATTAACTTATTCCTTTTCTTCTCTCTGTTTTCTTTTTGTCACAACAGTATCAGTGTGTATTATTTACTTACACTGCCTCAGTTGTACCCTGAACCTCAGATACTCATCTGCTTTTACGTATTTAGGCATACTTCCAATAAATGTCTGCTTTTTGCATATAGGCCCTACTTCCAAATAATCATCTGCTGTTTGTCAAAGTCTACACATACAAGTTCAATTGCTTTAGAACCCCTTTGACAAGACAAATTATTCTCCTAAAATGTCAGAAAACTGTTAATCTCACTTTAACATATCAACCATTAGGCTATTCACTCCTACAACAGTTAACTTTACATTTTCAAACCTTTTTCTGACTGAAATTCTTTTTCACTCAGCTTTACTTTTGGCTCTCTTTCCACTCTCTTGTCTCAGGTATGGTTGCCACTATTTATATCTCTCACTGAGACATTCTAGAAATCTTTGTAGTCTCGACACCAATAACTTACAAACACAACTTCCAATAATCATCTGCTTTTAACTCTGTTATTAAGAAACAAAACTAAACAATCCTGAAATATTTATTCACAAAATAAATTAATTAATACTACCTACAATAAACAGTCTTTAATATCTGACGTACAGTAAATCCTGGCTATATGCTTTCATGTTTGGCTCAGTTTGAGTGTATTTCAAAATTTCAAACAGAACCTGTTATCAAATGCTATTCATGTTTCATAAACTTTTTCTTTTAGGTACTGTAATATAACTTAACAACAACAAAAACTGTTATGCATCACACTATTATGATATATCATAGATTGAATTAAAATAATAAAAAATTCATCTTTTAAAACTGTAAGGAAAACTTTTATAAAGTAAGATTTTAATTCTAGAGAATATTTTTTAATGTACTGTCTGCCAGAATGATCCACAGATTTATCTTGATTTTGGTTTGGTTTGAACTTCGCACAAACCTACACGAGGACTATCTGCACTAGCAGTCCCTAATTTAGCAGTGAAAGACTAGAGGGAAGGCAGATAGTCATCTCCATCTATTGCTAATTCCTCGGCTACTCTTTTACCAATAAATAGTGGGATTGGTTTGGTTTGTTTTGTTTTGAATTTTGCACAAAGCTACACGAGGGCTATCTGAGCTAGCCATCCCTAATTTAGCAGTGAAAGACTAGAGGGAAGGCAGCTAGTCATCACCACTCACTGCCAACTCTTGGGCTACTCTTTTACCAATGAATAGTGGGATTGACTATCACATTATAATGCCCTGAAATGTCTATGATGGCTGAAAAGGTGAGGATGTTTGGTGGGATGGGGATTCGAACCCATGATCCTCAGATTGTGAGTCAAGCACCCTAACCACCTGGCCATGCTGGGCTATTTATCTTGACAAAAGCATTTATTATTTCAAGGCACTGGCATTTGATTTTCTTAAGTGTTAGAAAATAGGTACATTGTTAAATGTTTTCAAATATCATTATATTCACATATTGTATGAATAAAATGATAATGATAAGAATTTAGGGCTAAACAAATCATTGTTCATCTTAGGAAGAAAGATTTGCAAACTTGACTGTAATGGCTGATGAGCTAGTGGCAGAAAATTTCCATGGCAAAGACAAGATAAAAAAAAGGTAAACAAACAAACATTTTATCAACCTGAGTACTAAATAATTTACCAGTGTATTTAATCTGTGTATTTTATAATTTTGAGATTAGTTGTATTTTTGATATGTTTAAACTGATTAGTCACATTGATGCTTCTATCTAGTTTTAGGAAGTGAGCAACAAAAATGTTTATAATTTCCATTTTAAAATAATCCAACTTTGTACCTTAACAGTACACTATGCAGAAGTATGTTTAATATAATAAAAGGTTTGTTGTTGTTAGACCTGTCTTAGTATGAAATAATTAGATAAGTTACATGGTTATATTAAAACTGTTGTAATAAGTTTGTTTTGTCTATAATTGGTCTTGGTTATGATCAGGGTAGTTAAAACTGGTTTTGTTCTGTACATTTTATACTAGGGGTAGAAATTATGTAACTGTAATACTTATAATGCTATGAGGTTTCTAAGGTTTATTTTAATAAACGGGGTACCATTTGCATGCAACTAAAATATCAGCTAATTACACAGATTACATAATGGTTCAGACAGTGAACTCCATGCATTACTTTTGTATATGCAATATAGAAAATACTTCAAACTTAACATTGACAACATTATCATAGCATGCATATGTTGTCTTTACTATTAAAATTAGCAGATTCCATCTTGTATTCTTAAGTATATTTTTTGTTGCAAAATGAAAGCACTTCTTATACATTGTATTCTATGCTACATACTTTTCTTCACTAGATTTATGTTGGTCAAATGTATAATGCAGTTTGTTAACCTGTTTGTGTGGGTTTGTTATTTTTTTACAGATCCACTTCTGACAGTCAAAAAGTTAAACTATAATAGTTTAATGCTCTACATGTTGATCATTAGTTTGTGTTTGTAAAATTGCTTGAATATGAATCTTATATGTATATGTATATGAAATATGTATATGAATCTTAGAGGTTAGGAAGTTTACAAGGTTGTGGTATAAATATTACAGCTCTCTTTCTCTTCTCCTTTAATTTAGAACATTGTTTTGTGATATGTTCATATGCTGTATAATTTATTTTTCTCTTTCCCCTCATTCTTCATTCTAGGTATTTAAATTTAAAATCAATAGTTTCAGTATGTTATTTAAAAAAATGTACAGGTGAGAAAGATAAATTTCCTTTTTTAATATTTTACTTTACTAGTTATTTTTACATTTTTAAATCTACTTTAATGTGGAAACATCTCTTTGCCAGATTGTTTTAATGTTTATAATAGCTATTATTTTTCCTGACTTTAGAGAGACAGAGATTCTTCAGCGTTGGCATTATCTGTTAGAACTTCTGAAGAAACACAGGATATCTCTCACTGGATTCAGTAATTTAATGAGTATCCTGAGAGAGATTGACACAATAACTGATGAAATCAAGGAGATGGAGGTATTTGCCTGTTTAGCTGATTCAAGTTATAGTTTTATGGTGTAGTAAGAAAAAAAAAAGCCAAATAATGCTTAATTGGTTGAAAATGTACTTTAGTTACATAAATTATGTAAACTACTTAATTGGTTCAAAATGTTGTAAAATGATTTAGTTGTAAATTCAGGGAATCATACATACTGCTTAGTTGGCCTAAACTGGGCACAATTTATATTAATGAGCTAGCATAAATATTGTTTAGTTAGTTCAGACTGTAGTTTAAAAATTTAGATATCATAATTTTTGTATAGGCTTAATTAATGCTGTTATTAAGGTGAAGAAACTTGGAAACATTGATGTATTTAGGCATCTGCAAGTGATGTTCCCATATATAAAATTACAGGTATAATCTATTAATCTATAAACCTTGAAAGCAAGACAGCAACATGTTAGTACATTTGAAATGTTACTCATATAGAAAAAAAAGTGTTTACACATTTAGTTTTTAAGAGTTTTATAGGGTGTTGAAATTTCACTGAGCCAAAATAATATTTCTGTCTTGAGTATTTTGTGAACACTACCATAAAGATCATAATGGTGAAAATTTCTTTACTGTTACTGAAGTTGTGGATAATTATTTTGTACTGGGTTCATTTTACTGTTGCTTAACATTGTGAGTATAATCTTGTATAATTAATATTGTTAACATTGTATTTGAGAAATGAAAGGCATTGGAAAGAAAATATTTCACTCAACCTGAGAAATTACGTATAATTCTTTGAAACTATGGATATTTCCATGGCAACTATTGCAAGCAAATAAAAACAAAACAAAAACCATTTGCTGTTATTTTACAGTTGCAATTCAGGTCAGTTGTATATGACTAGAAAATAAAAAGCTTGGAATGCTATTTCTACTGGCTACTAATATGCACATATAATTTATAATTAGTATGAGTAATATGAGATGAGTCGAAACTGATGTCATGGCTAGTATTTGTTTTTATTCCCTTGCTACTTTAAATTATGAGTTTTGTAATTCTTAGCTGTTAATTATTTAAATAGTTATATGATATGTGGTTGAATTTGTTCCATATAACTGGTTACTGTTGACATTGCTTGATTATTGGTTTAGTTTCTGCACAAGACTATTCTGCATAACTTGTATGTATTGGTAGTTGTTTAATTATTGGTCTGGTAATTGTTGGTATTTACATGAGTTTTTCTTAGGTCTGTGTTTGTTGATTTCTAATCTGTTCAGTTCGTGGTTAAGCAGCTTCAAGTTTGACACTTGTTTTCCTTTTAGGGAAGTATCTACTCTGATGATCTAGGACGCCATCTGTTGTCAGTTGAGGATCTATTACAGAAACTTAGCTTGATGGAGGCTCAGATCACATCACAAGGAGACACAATTCGAAAACTGAACAAACAAGCACAGTTATTTATTCAAGAAGGATACAAGGAAGCTCCTGTATTGCAGAAGCGGTTGGATAAGTTGAATGGAGAATATGATAAGTAGGTGTTTTCAGGCTATGTTTTCCATTTTATTGAACTATGAATAAATATAAATAGTGCTTTTTATATATATATATAAATGTATATAAAACTTTATCTGTTAGTGAATAAATGTTGTTGTAAGACAATACTATACAATGTTTTATTTTGTTTTGTAAATTTAAGCATTTGGTATCTTGAACATTCCGTTTTTTAGTCTTAAATAGGATATTTCACTTTGGAAAACTAATTTGATTGAGTTTGTTTTTAGTTTATCCCTGCATGATTAGATGGTTGGAGATCTAAGTTTGAGAATATGCTTTGGCCTTTAACAAATCAATCTGTGTGGTAGATGAATATGATGTCTTAATTGAATGTATGTAAAATGTTTGTATAGATCACCAACAATGATAACAATTTTCCTATAAGATCAGAACTTCTTGGTTAGGATACTGAAGCTAGAATATAGACTGTCATGGTTGGACTATTTTTAAATATCATAGAGTATTTATCTGAAAGATCTTCATGTTCTTTCAGTCTTGTGCAGCTGGCTCATAATCGAAGAGCCAAGTTGGAGGAATCTCGTGCATATTATCAGTTTGTTCAAGACCACGAGGAAGAAGAAGCTTGGGTGGTAGAGAGACAAAGAATTTGTAAAACAGTGATTCCTGGGAAGGACTTATTGGGTGTAACATCTTTACAGCAGAAACACAAGGCAAGTTGTGTTTTTTTTACAATAGATATGTAATGGAATTTGTGATTAAATCTACTGCTGTGTGAACTGTTTCAAAATTTATTGTCATGAATTCACTTTACTCCTGTGTTGGCTGTGTGCTAAGTTGTTATCATGAATCCTTTTCATCTCTGGGTGTGGGTTTACCAGGTGTCGTCACAAACCACTTCAGTGCTGTGTGGACCATTTACGAAGTTGCTGTTGTGAATCCTCCTTGCTGCAGCATGGGTTTTTTGTGAATCTGTGTCAAAAATAAAAGATATGTTAAGTGTCATCTGAACATTTGTAATAAAAAAGGACAACTATTCTTAATCAGTGTAATTTATGTATTTTAAATAGGGAAAAAAGGTTTATAGATCATATATATATATATCATATTTAATATTGGATGACATATATATTTCAGTTACATCAATATAAAAGCTACTCTCTGTTCGTAATGCTCCCTTTGTTGGTAATACTTGACTTTCTGTTTGTAATGCTCACTTTGGTGGTAATGTTCAAATTGGCTTGGTGGTTAGTCTCAAGTGGAAATACCATGTTAAAATCCCTGTTGAGTGAGGATTTTATAACTTTTTTTAGTTATTCACCCATTATGTTTAGAGTAAGATTTTACAATATTAGGAAAAATCAGATTAACATAATAGTTTAAATTAGGGATTTGAATTATTTGTTAACAAAGACTGGGTGTTACAGTGGTTATAGTGCTCAACTATCATGTGGAAGCCTCATGTTCAAATCCCAGTCAAGTTGGGATTTTATGTTAATTGTTTTGAATATCTAAGGTCATGTTTCCAGCAAGCACTTTGAATATTTGGAAGAATATACAAATACCATTATACACTAAATCAGGGATCATATCATATTACATATAAACACCAGTGTCTGTCTTTGTCATATACAACTTCAATATCTTTTCAATCAAATAGATGGTGCCACAATACATTATTCTGTTTTTCAACTTAACTCTTTCAGTACAGGCTTGATCCCTGGGACTGACCTCGTAACCATTTTGTGCTTATAGTTTTCATGCTTTAACATTTAAAATAGTAAGCATATGTTAATGAAATTTGGTAGATTATCAGCATACATTACAATGCTTTCATACACAAAATATCAAATT